GCATTCAAGTGTTCCTATTGTATTAGTCACAGTATTCGCGTTTGCCTATTGTATGCATTCGGGCCGGTTTTTCTATATCTCATGGCCATCTAGTGTTGATCCGATGGACATTATGTATATGCAGCTGGCCTATCACAAGATACAAGTTTACTTGTGTTGATTATCCGTTGTCTCGCAATATCAACGATTTGGATATCACAAATGATGATCCATATCTACTGGCACGTGCGTGAGTTTGTGTTGATTGTATCTTTGGTTGAGTTTGTGTTCATCATACCCGTCCATGCTCATGTCCTACTTCGAGTCTATTGTGGTAGTCCAACGCAACACCTTTTTGCGCACCAGTTGGCTGGTATAATCATTTGCTATCCCAGTCTCCACTGGATGTTCTCCAGTTAACGGCTATATCTCCATCGCGTCTCAAACCGATATAATACAATACACGTCTACCTCGAGTGCCTTCTACGCCAATACCACTCATTGCCTCTGCTTTATCAGTCACATGCTGAGTTATCTATCGCTGAATTACCTGATTATGTGATCATGCGCTGACTCTAAACATCCTCGACATATCCAGCCATCTGCTGGCGCTCAGTCTGTCGAATCAGCTGTCGGACGAAGGCGTGCTGACCACCAAGGAACAGAGTGAGGCCGCTGAGTATGTTGTATTTGTATCCGTGGGATTGCTATAGCACTCCTCTTTATATATAGGCTCGTGGCTAAGTTGTTGTCGGTGTAGTTGGGTCTATTTTGTTTGTATATACGTTCACCGACGGTTTAAGTGCAAGGGGTCTGTGGCGTGGCAACTGCACATCTGAACTATTTGTATAGCACGGTAAATACGTATGTTTTAAAGTGTGTGATAACTTATGCCGTTTACTTCGGCCTGATCGTAGTGCGTGGCATGCTGGTGCACTACGTGACTCTCAGTTTTATCGCGCATATCTCCCACGTTTTTGTTCTGTTTACAATGTATTCTCACTTGAAGCTTACGAACGTGTGCATCAGTTAGTGCTGTATTGTATTTGTATTGACATTCGCTGCTACATCCTGCGTGACTATTCACGATCATGCATCATCAGAGTGACCCAACTTATATCATTCTTTTTATTAGTGTGACTCACCGAAAATAATTTCATAGTGTGACCCAACTCATATCATTCTTTCTATAAATGTGACTCAGCTAGTATCGTTTTCATATAAGTGTAACCCTACTCATACCATTCTTTCTATTAGTGTGGCTCAACTAGTTATATATTCATATTAGTGTGACCCCCAACATTCTTTCTATTAATGTGACTCAAATGATATCGGTTTCATATTAGTGTAACCCAACTATCGTTTTTTATATTAATGTGGCCTCATATTATTTTCATATTATTGTGACCCAACTCATACAATAGTTTGTGTTAGTGTCACCCAATCAATATCATCAAAATTCTACATATCGTTTTGCCAAAGTAATAGCATTTATTTATACAATTAATTCTTGCCCAGCCGGCAATTTGCACTCAGGTTGGCTGAAGGTCTTTCGCCCGAACTTGCACAACACAGTGAGGACTCAGAGTAAGTCCCATCCTAAATCTAGGAATTGTTTGGTGTGTTTCTCCCCTGCCTCACACACACACACACGCATATATATATATATATATATATAAATGAGTGTGTATATATATACAAATATATATATATATTATTTATTATATATATATGTATATATATATATAGTATACTATATATATATATATATAGTATATATATATATATACATATATATGTGTATATTTATTATATGTATTATTATATATATATATATATATATATAAGCAGACAGATAGACATATATATGTATTTGGTTATTTTGGCTCTGTGTGGACGAAAGATGTGTATGCCCCCGACTGACTGATGCTTTCCCTACTTCTATATCGGATTCATATCTATTCTGCTCTCTGTACAGTCGCGCAATGGCCCTGAAACTGCAAGCGGAGGAAAATGACCAGGCGTCGCGGAGTCATAGTAGTACGAACTCGTCGCATGGGTAAGGCATTTTTAGTAGTTTCGCCGGTGTCCAAGGGATACGTGTATACGTTCATCTAATTCATATGGAAGTCATATTTCAAGATGTGAGATACGCTCAGTTCAGACAGAGTGTTTGGTTTAAAAGGTATGTTTTTAACCGCATCTCTACGAATGTCTAGTTTGATTGTTGGTGCAGGAATTGCGTGCCAGTACATCTACGTGCGTTAAATAACGTGGTCATATTCTCTACTCTACCATCGAGGGAATCTTTCACCGAGCACGCGCCACGTGCATATATAACAACCAGCGGGATGCCTGGTTATGCATAGCCTTAGTGAGTTGGTTTTATGCTTGAATATAGTTGCATACAAAAAGAGACATATTCCAATCCTCAAACTCTCGTTGTACCAACAGACAGCGACCCAGCCAGTCGCAGAGCAATTCCACAACCACGCCGAGGGATAAGAAGAGCCAAGACAAGGACTCGTCCTGCTGTGTCTCGTAGCATTCAAAACGGATGTATAAACGATAAAAATAATACAAATAATAAAAGTCAAGGTGCCAGTCACAATTCCGATGTGTATAAAAATAATAAAAATCAAGGTGCAAGTCACAAGTGTATGAACGATAAAATAATAGAAGTCAAGGTGCAAGTCACAAGTATATGAACGATAAAAGTTATAGAAGTCAAGGTGCAAGTAACAAGTATATGAACGATAAAAATAATACAAGTCAAGGTGCAAGTCACAAGTGTATGAACGGTAAAAATAATAGAAGTCAAGGTGCAAGTCACAAGTGTATGAACGATAAAAGTAATAGAAGTCAAGGTGCAAGTCACAAGTATATGAACGATAAAAATAATACAAGTCAAGGTGCAAGTCACAAGTGTATGAACGGTAAAAATAATAGAAGTCAAGGTGCAAGTCACAAGTGTATGAACGATAAAAATAATAGAAGTCAAGGTGCAAGTCACAAGTATATGAACGATAAAAGTAATAGAAGTCAAGGTGCAAGTAACAAGTATATGAACGATAAAAGTAATAGAAGTCAAGGTGCAAGTAACAAGTATATGAACGATAAAAATAATACAAGTCAAGGTGCAAGTCACAACCCAGATGTGTACAGATATCTGATATCAAGTCATCGGCATGAATTTGCCGAGTCTGCGTAGCTCGGCACAGGCGTGTTACTTCGTCATCGAATTTACACTGATATGAAAAAAATGTAGCGTACAGTGTTCCGTGATCCTGTATGAAAAGTATGGGCTTGGGATGTTTCAAGGGATATTTAGTACCATGCATTGAATTAATAGGTGGCGGCATATGCGATAGTTTTCACAAAATATTTATACGTCTCAGAATGCACGCAAATGGAACCCGTTGCTGTTATTAGAGTATACAAAAGCTGCAAGTGTAGACACAAAATATCCTGATATTGGGCCGAGATAACCCAATTCTAAGAGCCACACTCAGATGAAGTTTATATTTAGTATCAGCTGATAACAGTACCCACGACAACGCTACGCCTCAGTACTAAACACACTAGCACTACCATTGGATAACCCGTTTTTATACTAAAACAACCTATAAATATACACACAGCTTTCCTGTAGAGTACGGGGATGTGCGTTTCAGAATACAAACAATCCCAGGAACGCGTAACAATCATTGCACTCGGGTGTTGTTCCGTATTGATTTGAATTTAACCTGGGAACTGCAAACAATGTATATTGGCAGTCCATGGAACATAATTAAACCTCTAGAAAACGTTAATAGTGGTAATAAGGAGACGTCCTTTATTTAACTCAAAGCCCCGCTCCCATATACACAACCGCGGTCACCCAACGGAGTGCAATGGTACTCGCGTATTTATAGTACAAGATTTCCACATGGAATAAGGCACGCGCACCAACTCTGCTCACATACAACCCCACCCTCGAGTAATGAAGGATTTGGCTACATGCTTGCATACATATACGTACACGCATGTAATAATAACTACATACACGTGCCGTCTATGGCTACAAGAAGGACAGAGTCAGCACAGCACGATCCCAGCGAAACCGCGTGTCTAAGCGACTTTTAACTCTATAAAAGTTGGTCGCTTAATACAGACGCTTGACGTTACCCATGGTACTCTTAATGTTAAGAGATTTGATGTTCTGCCAATTCTTCTTAAGCAGAGACAGCAAGAAGTTGACAGCCAAGAAGATGTTCTGTACAACATCCTCCTTGTCCATCTCAACGTGACCAATAGCCACACCAAGACAAAGCACCTTCTTCATCTGGAACTTGATGGTCGACTTGACATCATCAACCTTGGCTACGATATCATCATTGGCCAGAAGAAGGGTGGGGAACTTACCGGCCTTGTTAAGACCTGGACCCAATAGACGAGGAATCTGCTTGATCAGAGACTCGGATGCAAGGAAAGCATCGTGGGACTTGGCAAGCTTCTTCACGAGCTTCTTGTTCTTGTTAAGCTTCTTAAGATCCTCAACAGACATGTGGGGGATACCGTTCTCTTTCGCCTTATCGCAATGGGCAGCATCTCCAAGAATGCAGATCTTCATTCCAGGGCGAGGGATGTTGGGAAGCCTACAAACAACACATGAGAACGTACAACATTAGCAACTATTATTCTAGAAATGTGAGAGATAATAATAATCAATAAATACATCGCCACGTCGTCCACATACTGATTTCGATTATATTTCATAACCTTTTACTAAGGCTATCCGTACCGTAGGAATCAATCTCCAAAGAAGAAGCATACAACCAAATACTCACGACACAATTATATTGGTGTACGAATCAACAAGAGTGAACAAAAAGACAGTATCCAAAACAATCGACTGTTGATTAATCCAAGGAGAAACCCGAATTCACTAAAGTTACTTCAAGATGATTACAACACAGATTTCAACTCGATCCGGGCACAGAACAATTATTGTCCAAATTCGGAACAAAGCATCAGGAGAGGCATCTAGCTGAAAATATACAACTCTGTTAGTTAGCATACTGACATCCCAATTCAAACTAACAACGATTCTTAAATAGGCATTCATGTATAGTAAAAACAGAAAGATACATTTAAGTATAGTAAACACATACATCAACACATTGTGCAATCAATGTACTGAACTCGTTTTGTAAGACAGATTTTTCAAGGCTGCGAAGACTACTGAAAATTGAAACTAGACATCCCTGAATAGATTCCAGCAGTCGCTATAATATTTCCTTGAATGGTGTTTAATATAGCGCACTAGTTTACCAGTGTGTTCACGGAAACGAACACCTTGATGATATATGCGCATCACAAACACGGATAAAACAGTCAACTTGAACAGTACATATCATAAGATAAGTACAACACAATTACATAATAAATCACTGTGCCATTATATTACTACTCCAGCGGATAACACACAGATACATATACGGAAATACTTACTTGACAGTTCCGGAGAAACGTTTGTCACGCTGGGGGTCGTAATTCTTGAGGCCGATCTGAAGCTCAATGGTCTCACGGAAGTTACGCTTCTTGTCGGTGGACTCCTTTAAGAGCTCCTCCAAGGCGTTCTCTACTGTCTCTCTCGATAATTTACTCATGATTACAATGCGGGGCTAATGCTTGGGTAAAAAGAACGATTAATTAGGGTGTGAAGGAGACTAATATACGGACACGAGCATGTTCTTAACTTCTTGCCAGTGATCCCGTGTACACGTTTTCAAACATTTTTTTCAGTCCTCTGATTTTACTGATATGCATTTCCTGAAAAATCGAGATGTTGCCAATAAATTCATTCTTTTTAAAAAATACGTTAATTTATAGACCCAATTTTTATAATCAAAGAATGATGGCTGCGAATGGGCAAAAGTGTCCATGATTCAGCGGGACAGACAAAAAACAGGTCAAAAATTAAAACAAAATCCCAAAACATCCTAAAGTATGTTGATATTGGTCTATTTTGAAAGTGATGTTGGATTCTATCACAACAACAACGAGAAGTGATGAAGTTTTCAATTTATTATTTTGTAATAAAAACAGATTTTGTACCCCATGCTTTCTACAATATCTGCTCCTAGATATTTGTCTTCTATTGAGAGTGATACATGGTTACATCCACAGTTGGTCGGCTTTTTATACTGACGTTTTGGCCTGCGATTCAGTTCGGGCCCTTCGGGGATGCCTTCTACCGGGGGCGCACGGCCCTGGGGCCCGTCTGCTGGGCCTCCTGGGCCTGGGGTCTCTGTCCCTTTTTTTATACATCGTGGAGGCGACGTAGATATATGTTTTCTATAGATGTATATATATTTATTTACATATATAAAGTAAACAAACCAAAGAACCACAGGCATTGCGTCCGGAACTACAGGTACGTATCGTCGGATTTTCGTATCATGAGCATTTCTGCTTATGTATTATGGATAATTCTTTTTGTCTCTCACGAGGATATGATTCATATTCCATCGCTGTGTGTGTGATTGGATGTAAGATAGTCTGTGATGATGACAAAATTTTACCCGGACGACCTTTGACGGAATTGCTACGAATCCTTTGTTTTTGCTTGTGTTCGTGTAACCTGTTGTGTATATGTTGTGCTCTATGTTCTATGTTTGTCCCCGCACTTGCAATGGCAAAGAGCTAGGTGCAAATGAAGTTGATTTTCATGACGGTTTGAACTATGAGAGCTGAGCTTTCTATCTTTTTTTATATCACACTGACATATATATATATATATATGTCGCGATATTTATCATATCCATTATAGAGACTAAATAATGTGCAATTATGCGTGACTGAAAGAAACAATATACTCATGTATTCGTTTTCTTCTATCCTTTCTTCTGTGTAGGTATCGAAACGTATCACAAGGGAGGTCCGAGGGAATTGCCTAGTTCGGCGATACTCATTAGGAATAGATATTGTAATAAAATTAATCAAACATGGGAACAGTAATTACGCCACATGTTTGTTTCGTTGAAGCTGACCTAACTGCACAAGTTATCTTTTAGTGCCCAGGATTTTGTGAGCTATGGTCTGACTAAATATGTTCACTACCACTCTGTGCAAAAATGTGATGTAAAAAACTTGTACAGAAGGACCGGCACGGAAAATCTGCAGAGACTGTAGAAATATTACAGTTTCGGTGTATATTTAGTGGTTTTTCTTTCGAATTGAATCAAGCTGGAAATTTGCACTGATACGTACTTTGGTTTATAGGACTGAATCTAGGCTTAGTTGTCAAAAAGAAGGGTGCGCTTTCCTTTTAGCTGGCAAATTCACTGTTAATCATTCTTCTGTAAAACGACTTGAATACGAAGCCTTTCGATTTTAAATTAAGTAGTCGCAGTGAATAGAAATTCATTGGCAAACAACCGCAGTCATGAGTGCGTATGAAAAGCTAATGGCATGGCAGTCTACAGGAGAATTCATGACCTATGGACCGTCCAAACACCGCATGTATGTCAAGCAAGTGGGTAGTTCAACTGCATCAGCGGACAAGCCTTGCTGCTACTCCATGGCTTTCCAGAGGTATGTGCGAATAC